TATTTTGAATAATGAAAAAATATATGCATTGAATGGAATTTTAATGACAATTTTGGACACTGACAAAATGAATATTTACACAAAAAGATTGCTCGTGCGTTGAAATACAATGACATCCTACCAAGTAAGATGCATAGGAGAGATCACATATGGAATACTTGAATGGAATTTGAATGACCATTAAGCAATGTGCAATGTAATATCATTTCCATGAAAGGCATAGCTTTTCCATCTAGTCGCATCTCGCTGACAACATAAAATCATTTCCATGAAATTTTATAGAACGTCACATGTATGTCCTTACACTGCATTGCTTCCTGAGTGAATTGTCTGGCTTTGATCAACGAGATTGCTTGCATGCTATTTATATTTAATAAAATATCGAAAGAATAAGGACGCCGATAACGCCCACACGTGTGGGTGTTAAGGGGTCTGTCCACACAGTTTGTATGGTGTTTAAGAGGATCAGCCCACACACCTACGTGTGGACAAAACAAGTAATGACCACACGCTTCTTTTTTTTCCCTCACGGTCCTTTTCACATGTCTGCGTGTGGGCAAAATAGATAATGCCCACACGCCCGTACGTCAGGCCTCCTACCTTATGGCCCCGCACGCCCCGCGTGACAGGCACCAGCGTCCCGCAGTTGCCATGGTCTGGACACTCTTCCATGTTCATTTAACTGCAGTTGCCATGTCGCTGAACTACAGTTGCCATGTCGGACAACTACAGTTGCCATGGTTGCTCAACTGCAGTTGCCATGTATGGTCTGGTCTACTGTAGTTGCCATGATTTCAAAACTTTAGAAGTTGTCACCTACTAACACTAGGCAGTTCAGAGAGTTGCCATGTGCTCACAAGCACGCTAGGGCAGTTGCCATCTGCTTACGTGCACGCTAGGGCGGTTGCCATGTACCATGCAAAAACACATGGCAACTCGGGTAAAAGAGAGTTGCCATCTGCTTACGTGCACACTAGGCAGTTGCCGTGTACCCTGCAAAACACATGGCAACTGACATGTTCGGGTAAAAAAAAGAGTTGCCATCTGCTTACAAGCACACTAGGGCAGTTGTCATGTACACTGCAAAACACATGGCAACTAGCAGCTTGGGTGTGGGAGAGAAGACGAGAATGTGGGCGAGATGGCAAATGCCCACACACCAGCCCTTGTGCGTGAGTGTGAAAACTGGCGTGTGGGCGAACTGCTAAACGTCCACACACTGGCCCCTCTGTGTGGTGAAACGGATGTGTGGGCGACCGGGTGAATGCCCACACACCAACCCAGTCCTACGTGCCACCAAACATGCCAAGATTCGTGCACCCACAAACGGACGCGGATCCAAGCATGTGGGCGAGATGCAAACGCACACACGTGTGGGCGTTAGTATTTCCGAAGAATAAACACCAGAGGAAAAAACAAAAGCTTGCATGTCGGAGAACCCAGTTAAGCAACAGTTGCTTGGACTCAACCTGCACTGGCCAGTATTCTTTTCTTCTTCACAATTAGGCGTGACTGATGTTTTCTTCTGATCCTTGTCGGTAAACTTCTTCCTGATACAATATCTAAAGATATTGCTTAAGATGTAACCCCACTATGAAAGACATGGTATGTAAATAAGAAATCAAACACATTAAGCTACGGAAGATTGGTGGCCAACCAGCATGGCCACGTGGCGCATGCTGATTGGCCATGGCAAAAAACTTTTTGGTTTTTTGGAAGATTAGACTAAGAAACTTTTTGATTTTTTTGGAAGTTGAAATTGAGAGCCTTTTTTCTTTTGAGAAAAGTTTTTTTGAGATGATTTTTTAAAGATGAAAGTAAGAATTTTGTTTCTTTTTCACTTTAAGAATGTTTTTAGGCTTTTTCTTTTTATTTTTGAGATTGATGTGATGTTCATGTGTTGTGAGAAAGTTTTTTTTATTTTGAGATGAAATTAAGGTTTTTCCCTTGAAAGGGAGAAATACACGCACATCTTCTTCCCAAGAGGCCCGCAATGGCGGGCCCCAACCACTAGTTATTTAGCAAAGCTTTCAAAGATTGCCTGAGCCATATTAATTACCGCTGAAATAGATGTATCTAGACCAGCACACACACACCCAAGTCACACAACAAGAAGTACAAAGGTTCTGCTGAAGGCACAACTCAACAAGCCCAGAAAACATAAAAAAGAGGAGGCTGAAGCCGAAGAACATGTCCGGCAACTAATCTGGCTCCGGAGGTGGCGAAGGGAGCGGCGGCGACAGACGGACGGCCATCAAGCGAAGGTCGGCGATGAAGGCGGAGATGGCGTCCCGGTCCTGACGGAGGCTAAGCGGCCGCTAAAGCTGCAAGTAACCAGACAATTTGAGGAGAGCGTCAATAGCCCATCGAAGAAGGATGCGCTGAATCACAAGTTTATTGCGAATCGTCCAGAGGGTCCACGCAAGTGCCCCAATCTCAAGCCACCTAATGTGGCGAGAGGGCAGGGGAGAGTTCTAGAGTTCGGCAAAGATGTCGGGGAAGTTGGTGTGGCACCAATTACCCCCCACCACTAGTAGAAAACAGGGCATTTGTCCCGGTTGGTGAGGACCTTTTGTCCCGGTTCTTGAACCGGGACTAAAGGGTCATTACTAATGCCTCCCCCCTTTAGTCCCGGTTCTTACATGAACCGGGACAGATGGGCCTCCACCTGGCCACTTCGAGCAGCCCAGGCAATGGGGCCTTTGGTCCCGGTTGGTGACATGAACCGGGACCAAAAGGCTTCCACGTGTCAGCAGCTGGCTGGAGCTGAGGTTCGTCTTTTTTTAAAAAAAGTGGCTGGTTTAGGGGTTTTGGGGGTTGATTTTAGGTTGTTATTAGCTAGCTAATAGAGAGAAGTGTCCTCTCTTATATCTTCGTCCTTGGTTTACCAACGCTACTTCTATGTTCATTTCACTCGCTGATATATAATAACTCATGCATGCTCGCATCATACATCATCATATATAATAACAAGTCCTACTAATCATGCATCATCATATAACTTCTACTCGTTATTAATAACAAGTCATATGATCATCATCCTCATAGTCATCGAACCCAACCCTACATAATTGTTCTTAGCACATGATCATCAGTATCAAGTAGGACCTAATTAAACACCCTTAAGGTAAAATAGCATAAAACAATATAGACCCTGACTCTCCATTATGAAGAATGGAGATCATCCTGTCTCCAATTCTTGTGCTTCGCCTCCTTTTGCTTCCAAGAAGCTCCTTACGACTGTTCATACATTTTTTTTCCATTCTTTGATTGTCATGTCTCGACTTCTTTTAGAAATCCTGTATGGACAGTTGAGATTCGTAGGACGACCTGGTTGTATGTTCAAAACATCAAGGCGACCGTGCGTATACATCAGATGAGGCACACAATCATTCGGGATTATCTGTTGAAAAACATATTAATAACTTCGTAGTTAGCAATGATGTACTAGTTTTAGAAGTATTTAAAAAGATGCAGAGATGTCGTAATAGTAAAAAATCTTACCAGGGTATCTCCATGGTAGTTACCGTAGTTCAACACGTGCACTAGTGACACGTATTGACCATAATGTTGAGGAGTTCGATTGTAGACATTGTAATTCTCAAGATCAGTACAAAATGCGATCAGATGATTTTTCTCCTTATAAGTTAATTCGGAGCCATCGGTGTAATGGATTTTGTCTACCACCTTTCGCACATTCTTGGAAGATTGAAAATAAGCTGTCAATGGAAATAAGATGTCAACTATTTTGAAATAAACAATATAAATTACTTAATAACTATGTTAAGCTCACATGGGGGAAGAATTGGAGGTGTATCCACAA